GAGCATGAATCAGTAAAACTGAGAACGGTACGAGGCACGGTTGAGAAGCTTAGCAACAAAGTTCAAATACGTCATTACGTAGGTTGCTAAAATATTTGAAGAAAAGCTTGACAAACAGAGATTGAGCACGAGCCTGAGTGTTGCTCACAGCTCATCTGGTGGGTGGGTGGATACTAGTGATGCTGGTGTGACCGTCCGTCACTTCTGTAAGAAGTGTTGTGCGGCAATTGTCTGCTTCTCTTCTAGTATTGCTAGGCCGGGTTGAATGGCTTATTCAACAGTATTGGGCTTCAGAATCAGAATATGCTTGGATGGCAGTAAGGGCGAGCGTGACTAGCTAGTGCTTGAACAACTGCATACACGGACCCTGTAAGATCCATCCAAGGCAGCCGCGCTTGGTCAGCAAGACCTGTCTGCACCAATGGTATCCGCATTGCTGGAGATGAACGAAACATGCCCGTGTCTTGGGCGTAGCCCATAGGCTGAGCAAGCATTCCCTGACCTTTACATTCTGTTGCCATCGGTGTTTCCGCATGATCTCACTTATTGCACGTCTCCAGAAGGAAGGCTAGTGTTCATCTTCTGCAACCAAGAGGTCACCTTCGGCAGCACTTCAGTTGCACGACCGCTGCGGGGTACCTGCGCAAGCAATCAGAAGCATGAGTGCTTCGCCTCATCCTCTTCTTTTCCTATGACGGTAGAACCACATCTGCAACTGCGACTCGGTTTGGCTACCACGCGGCAAGTGTCAATGCACACATAAAGTGCTGCATGTCCTGTGTGTCCCATTTGCAGGCCTGGGGTAAGTAGAGGAAGTCTTTGGCAGTTTGCTCCATGTTGCACTTGGCGCCATTGGGGAACCGAGGGGCGGGAAAATTGACCTTGACCAGTGCACCTGTGCAACCTGTGCAATCTTCCATAAGCTGAGCTAGCGCGTTAAGCGCCTTCGCATCTGAGCTGTGCTACTCAGCATCTGGGCTGAAATCGAATCCTAATTACCTTGCTTGCATGTGCCGTTGGGCCGAGTGTTTTCCCAGTGCAACTATTCTGTTAGCTTGGGATTAGTTTGTGCAATGCTGAAGCCGCATAAAACGTGAGGCCATAGATCCAGACAGATCGTTTTGCCAGCAGACTGCTATCCCGCATCCCTAGCTCAGCGGTGTCCCTCCTCTAGCCGCTTACCTTCATTGGGATCTACTGCTCTTGCACACCCACATCCTGTCTCCACATGGCTTGCAAGGTCGGTCTTTTGCATGCTGATGCTCTCCAAAGCTTCTCAAGCTACGGCATCCCCACAGACGCTGGCCGTTTTACTCTAGAAAGAGCCATCAGGGTTAGATCTGGCGGCTCGCAGATTCCATGGGTCTGCACAGCCTCCGCAGCCATGATCAGGTATGAAGCGCCAATCTCACATGACCTGCACAACCAGACTTCCCAGTGTGGATTAGAAATACAGACATGCAAGCATCTTGCAAGCATCTTGCAATCTGTCCGCACGCCTTGAACTGAAACCCTCTCACCTTTTGCAGCTTCTGGCGATACATGTCGGCCCTCATCGAGAACCTCTCTCACTCTCCACCTCCACTAAATCATCAAGTGGCCGTTGTGGCCACTGCTTAACATAACAAAGACAATACATGATGAAAGTGCTGCGTAAGAAGCTTGGATCAGTAGCTTTACCTGGCATAATCTTAGCATTGTCCCCGTGTAAGCTAGCATGGCTTCTCACTCTCCACCCAGGCTGGCTCAACCACAGCGACTAATGCCTAGCACAGGGGCAACAGTTTCAAAGAGGTTTGAGAGTAAAGCTGTGGGACATCTCACACGAACAGCATCTTGCAAAGCACATGCCTATCAAGAATCTTTCTCAGCTTTGACATGGCCCGGCCCTCCTTGGCCTTGAAGACAACGCCAGCATCCTTCACTTTTCGCGATCGCCACGGTCGCCACGGTCACGCTCTGTGTCCTAAGCTTTGTGGAAGTCTACATTCCCTGTCCCGTACTACAATTCTCTCCATGCCTGCTACGATGACTGTCAAGCAAACACCACGGCAGCTAGTATACCTAGGCAAGTCAAGGTAGGGGGCAATTCGCCAACACAGCCGAGATGCACGATCCCGATCTCGGTCCCGACGGTCACGATCTCGATCTCGATCTCCTTGTACCCATTAAGCCCACCCTGAATCTAGCATGGTTGGGCATTGGATGAATATGACCAGAGTTGCTGGCGGGATCCCTAGACTTAGACTAGTAACAGCATTCTTCTGCTCCTGTTCATGACATTACAGATGTGACATTACTTCGTGATTCCAGTTTTGCCAAGACACGATCGCGGTCTCGGTCTCGACGTCGATCCCTGCACGGCATAGCAAAGGTAGTATGAACTCGTTAAGGTGAAGGCTTTTTGCGCAATGGTTCGCACGAAAATGGTGGCGGTGTGTGGTTCATGGATGCTCCAGCAACTGGTCAGTCTGCACTCATATTCCACATGAAGGTCATAGCCAGCAGCAAGACCTTCCTAAGCATAAAAATGAGCACCAAGACCAAGGTTTCAAAGTGACCACTGTCAGCAGCTGTGGAACAAATCCAGCTAGATGAGGTCAAGCAAGTTCTCCGATCCTCTGAAGTCTCAGTAAGCCTCCGCCCTTTTATCTCGGTCCAGGCACCTGTCGTGACGGCCGCCTCTGGCCTCATCGCGGCCTCCTCTCTGTCGGCTGCGACTTTTGTCCCGCTCCTGTACTCTAGCCAGACTGCGCGCTCTAGACATGATGCTTTCAAGTTTCTGGTAGGAGGCGGATTGCCCTCTTTATCAGCCAAGGTCCACCACATGGCCATTGATTGTGAAAAATGTAGGAGCATGGCTGGGAACCCAACATGCTCTGGATCATCCTACGTGTGTCCACAGTCCAACCCGATTTTGTGTGGAAAGTCATGATAGCATTGCTGGCTTCGGAGGCCTTTTTGGCATCACGCAGCTCGCGTTCATGCACCTGCGCACCAGCTCTGGGCAACATGACAGTGGGAGTTCTGGCAGAGGGAATGCCCAGGATGCAGGAAGCATGAAAAGAACCGTCACAAAGACGCGGCAGCCAGACCACTTTGCGCATGCTATATCATATCTTCCTACATTCGGAAAGATCTAGATGAGGCTCTGGTATTGGATACTATTGACAAGTCTGCGAGTCGGCTAGCAGAAGCCCGCAACATCCCGCAAGGCCTTGCTGCCAATAGCTGGTGCATACTCAGGATCCTGCAAAAGCAAGGCAGGCCGCAGCTCCAGGATTTACATACCAAAGGATTGCATAAATCATCATAAATCCATGACAAGCTACCTAAGGTGCCTGATGCGCAACAGAGGACCATGGGCAAGTCCTTGAATCCGAATCCTACTCAGCTTTGCTTGTTGTTGTTTTGCCGGCACGGCTTTCCCAATTGTACTTGGCGGCAAGCCGATCGTGTATGGTACATCAACATACATCAACGAGACAATATTCAATTTTGCTCGCGGTTGGACGTCCTTGACGGGTTTGCCTTCCCGGAGGTCCCGAAGCCTACAGCTGGCATTGAAGGTTCCAAAAGAGACTGCAACAGATTGATTCTTGGTCAGCTAGCATCAAGGAGGTGTGCTCCATCGTGTTCTCGGCCAATATGCAGTTGAGGGGCATCATCATGACCAGGGACGAAGGCTTGTTGGACCGCTCCAGATGCCTGCAACTCAAGGGGAATGGATACTTAAGACACCACTAAATCAAACCTTGTGTTGCAAGGACGTGAAGGCCACCCTTTTTCTTTTGGATACACAGATAAACTCCAGCTGGCTGGCTCTGCTTGTACGGAACATGTTTTCAGGAATGAGCTGAGAGGTATGTACATCCTCAACTTAATAGACAAGACATGGATCATGCGTTGCGCTTGCTTCCTGCGCAAGAGAACATTGGTCTTGTAAACTTGAATGGCCTTTCAATATTTGCCTTCTACCTCCCCGGTCAGTCATTGGATAGATCGCGATGTTCATGAACCACGGTGTACAAAACTTGCTGTCTGCGGTATTTCAGCAGGTGCTTAAGTTCCTGAATGATACAACTGTCCAACTGGAAGGGTTTGGCCATTCAATCAGAGATGGCTCTGGCTTCTACATCAACGGGTCAACAGGTTGTAACGCATGCCACAATCGATGAATGGGTACAACTCTGGGCACACAGCAATTCCTGAAGGAATGCTAGCTGGTCCTTGGGACGTTGGACTTGTTCCTGGGCATGTTCAAGTTCCCCAGGTCTGAAGGTCTGTTGTGTTCTGACAGGTCCATCACCATTACCTTCCCTTCTGCACTCCATTGATCCTGCCCTCCGCTGCTAGGGCCCAGGCTTCTGAAGCTTTGCTAGGTCACCATCCGCGTCGTCCCGGTTCTGGAGAACCTGCGCTTGGACGAGAACAGAAACAAACAATTCCAACATCTTTCGATGCTTCGGCTTTGTCTGAGAAGCATGGGCAAGGGAGGCCGTCCTGCAAGGTTCATGTCAAGCCTAGCAGCGACTTAGCGCATCCAGACTTTGGCTTCACTGCCTTTCCTCAAACATCTACGGAAGGCAACATCAACCCTTAAAAGAGCCAAGAACTTCTCGCCTCTGCCAGCCTCACAGCAGCCTGAGCATCCAATCGGTTGCGCTTGGCAAAGTCTTCAATCTGCCAGGGACCGGCGGAGGTGGGAGGTGCCCAAATTTGCCCAAGAACACCATGGCCATGAATTCATGCGATAGCCGCCACACAAAAGAAATGGTCATTAGACGTACTACTTGGAAGAAATAAACATACCTGATGTGGGTCCGCAGGGGGGCTACGATGTGGAGCATGTGTTTAGATAGGCGTTTAGGCTTGGGGATCGGCAGGACACATGCGGCTAATACCTACTAACAAACCGCAAGAGAAAGAATTGGGGCTCCAGAGTTCTAACATCATGCACCTGAGCTGGTATTGTCGTAGCAGGTCCTTAGCAGACATCGCTAATTAGCCATCCCTGCCGGAAAGGCTGCCATGTGTGAAAAGGATTGTGGCATGACGATGTCCAGGTCCTTCTTGTCCAGCGCCGACATGCCTTTGAAAGTTCCTGCTTTCATGTCTTTGAGCTTCATCATTAGCATTCCTCGCACGGTAGCACAACACTGCCAGGTGCAGCATGCCAGGCAGAAGCTCAAGCGGAGTATTAGAAGCACAAAAGCACGTGGCTGCTGAACAGATCTGATGCTCAAGTCAGTCCTGCAGGGTTCTTTGCCCTTTCCAAGCCCACCCACAGGGCTTGCATGTCCGACTCAAACCTTGGACAGGGGTCACCAGCGCTTTGCCTGGTGCATGAAGCTTGTCATGGACTTCGGGCATCTGTTGCCAGGCTGCGTGTCTTTCCGTCTCTTCATTTCCTCGTCGAGCAGGCGCGTCACCCGCTCATCTGACGGACAGCACGGAGCAACTCACAGTTTGCACTGTCGGTCATGCAGCATGATGCTGGCTTGAACAACTTCAGTTGTCCTGAAAGCCCCTCATCCGGCCTAAGCCATGATACTCCGCAAGCTCAGCCACTTGCGGATCAATTCCCGCGCTCTTGATTTGCTCGTACTCAGAGGCCACTTGCTGAAACCTGGATGCATGGCACAGAGAAGTCTTCTGCACAACTGCATATACACAAACCATTGCGGGTAACGAGTATTCCTTTGTCCCAAGCCTGGATGCTACTGGCCTTTTTTGAGAATTGGGCAACCTGCAACTGGGTACCCCAGGCCAGCAAATGAAGTTAAATCCCAGAACTAAAAGCACCTGATCCGCAGACAATGCCCGTGACGGTGATGGAGACAAACGCTAAGCTTCTGGCCTAAGCTGCGCTAGAGCCTCCGTATCGAGGGAGCCCGGAGGCGGCAAAGCGCCCGGTGGTGGAGCCATTCCGGGTAGCACAGGCAGGCCTTCAAGGGTCAAGTCTGCCTACATTCAAAATATCTAGCAGGCCCCAGCTTCGGATCCTCGAACGACAGAAGCTTGACTGCCTTGACCAAACTTCCAAGGCCGCATTAACCATTAGCCTCTGAAATTGGGGGAGAACTATCCACTTATGAATCGTCCTCCACTGAGCTGCACGAGTGGCATCTGTACCGTGCATACCTGCAACCTACCAGAGTCAAACACCGGTGCCTTCCCAAACTCACCCAAACCACGAACTCCCACGTGAGGGCTAGCACTGGCTTATCATGAACACACTGAGAGAAAGCTTCTTGATGGGCATGATGGCCCCGTTGCTGCCGGATGCTAGTCAGCTCTCCCCTTTCTAGGTGGTATGTACGTGCATGCCAGCGCGTGCGCATGTACCCCCTGTTTGTCAATTCCAAAGATTATATGATGGCAGGGCAGGTGGCCCTGCCCATTGAAGCTCATCCACCCTCCCTAGGCAAGCATGCCTGCAACTACTTTGTGAACTGTTCTAGTCGACATGAACCTCACTGTGCATTGGTGACGCTGGTGCCCTCCTAGGCGTGCACGGTTCTCATCCTGCTACCGTGATGGTAACATTCTTCAATTTTGGACGCTACTGACTGAAATCGGGCCTTGTATTCGGAAGCCATCTCAAAACATGTTCAGGTTAACACACATGTCTTGACGTGACATGTGGTACATGCAGTACATTTTGGTCTTGGCCCTGATTGGCATCCTTACTTCTAGTTATAGTTATCAAGAGCTGCCGGTTCCATTCCTACAACTATGTTCTTGTTATGAGGCTACGGGTCGAATTGTTCGGTCAGCTGGGGCATCTGCCTCCCTGAAGGGTCTCGGCAACCCTGAATCCTGAATCCACGCGCTCCCAACCCTCTGCAGTCTCTCAATTCCTCTCCCCTTTTGGGCATCCTACATGCATGCCGCAGCTATGGCTAAACATGAGTCCATATATAAATTGGCGGGGTGAAACGTGCTTGGATGAGCTCAAGGAGTCCGTTCTTCCAATTCCAGGCCTAGGCCGAGCCCTGGTGGCGCTGGGGGCATTTTCGCCCCACCAAGGCAAGGTGGCAGACCCGGCTGCGGAGGAGCAGGCACCCCTGGCACTGATCTGAGAGCGAAAGAAGAATAATTGTTGAGAGTTTAGGTCTAGAGTCACCGGGCCTGGCGGCATCTGCAGCCCAGCTAATCCAGGAATTGCAAGGCCAGGTGGAAGCAGACCCGCAGGCGGCCAACCAGCATTTTTCGGTGGCACCACTGTGGGACCCCCCAGTCCAGGAGGCAGGCCAGCAGGAGCTGTGCCTGCAGGAGGTGCTCCTGGGGGGCCTGGTGATACTGCTGGTGGTGCTACAGGCACTGGAGGTACGCCTGGAAGCACAGGAGGTGCTCCGGGGACTGGAGGTGCTCCAGGCAAACCAGGAAACGGAAATCCCGCAGGATCCAAGGCTCCTGCACACAATGCGCACAATCCCCTGCTAAGAAGCACCTTGCAAAAGTCCTGGAAAGGGTGCCAAGCCAGGCACATCAGACTCCCCAGCTTCCTGCATCAAAAACACAGCTGGGAAGAGGAGTTGGGAAGAGGAGTGCTCGACAACAAATCCTTACAGACAGGTTTACACAACAGATGTTACGCTGGCTCCGACAATGCAGATGACATTACTCCATGTCTGCAGGTATACTTCCTGTGACTGGCATTCTCAGGGCATGAAAAACATTTCTCCAAGTCTAGCTCGAGGCAAGCTACCCCGGGACCACGCTTCCGCCCCATGGCTTAAGAAGATTACAATGTGGGCCCCTTTGGCGGCACCAACCACTGCTGGCTAGGATGTGAGATGTTTAGTGGTAGGTGGTGATTGGTGCAAGGCCACTTGCTTCTGAAGTCCTTGGGCTGCAAAATTGCCATGCTTGAGACGGGTAGCAGCTGTTTTTTATTGATCCCAGGTTTTCTGACAACTGGGGCCACCTGTTGCCAAGAACATAGCCTTGAGCCAACAGCATTGGGGTCACGACATTTCTTGCACGTTTGACCTAAAACTCTCAGCATCTGAAGTCACGAACTCAAGGATGCCAATTCTCGGTTTCCAGCCTGAGTCAGCCTCAGGATCTGCCAGCAATCCTGTAGTGGCCACACAGACTTGGTATTGGATGGTATCGGGGTGTATGCGCGCAGTAACTGCTGACTGCCGGAACCTCAAGCAAAGATGGAACCAGACCACAGGAGTTCGAAATCATTTGGAGTTAGGGCTACACTGATGCAAAAGCATGCTCTGACAAGCAGACATGCTGTGGGCGGCATGCAGCTTGCTACTTGAGAGCCATCGCAATGCTTTCCTCGGCCAACACCATAGCCAGTCCGCTTGCCATGCTGCGCAGCTGCGCATGTTTGGGCGTGAGCTCGTATCCCATGAGATGGACTTCGGGCATGGGTCCAAGTTGCAGCTCCAAGATGCTCTGACATGTTCGGACAAAGCAACGAGGATGAAGGCGACAAGTTTCGCAACCGAACTCTACAGAGCCAAATCCCCACGGTTTTTCAACTATGCAAATTTATGGTGTGGAGAGTAGCATGGCCTTACGCTGTTTGCCTAGCCTCAGCGAGCCCAAGCTCTGACTGTCCAACCCTGAAGGCACAGCTCGACATCCTACGCGATAGAGCTCATCCGCAAAGCAGGAACCTCATATCAATATGACACATTTTCAAGCGATGTGGCGTTGAACAAGAATTCGTACAGGGCTTGGCATCCATTGTGGATAATCAATCTTGCCTCGAACCTCTCAGTCTTCTGGGGGGATGGGGCTCTTCTTAGGGTAAACGTTTGGGGCTGGGCAGGTAAACACAATGCTACACGGGGAAAGAAGAGGCTTCAGTTGCTGAGAGGTTCCAGCCCTCGCGGCACGGAGGAGTCAATCAATTGGCAGAAGAAACTTCGACGATAAGACGCAGGTCTGAGGTTGCTCCAAGCTTGGAAATCTGATGCAGGTTTGCATATCTAGTCGTAGCGGTCAGGCACCTACATGCAGCTTAGGCCTTCATAAATGCGGCATTGGCACTACAAGTGAATCCAAGCTCGGGGATAAACGATTCTGCACTTGGACAGTGCTTGGCGAAGTCACAAGCGCTTCTTCAGGGAAGGCAGTTGGCAAGAGTACAGAAGATGTGGCGTGGCAAACCCTGGCAAACCATACTAGCACTCTATGTGCACTCGGTCACCACATCTCAGGAGGTTCCTGTAGCCATTCCTGCCACGAGTTTATGCACCCAGGAATGGCCGTATGCGGGGGTGAATGCATGTGCCTTGCAGCAAGGTGGCGGCAAATTGCATCTTGATGTCAGCCCCTTAGCTGGCCAACGACTGGCTCAACTGCAACTGCTTGTCGTGAGTTGGACACAAAGTGGACAACGCAGAAGATCGCAGAAGCAGCATGCAGCCCGTTTGTCGCACTCTGGCTCTGGAGAGTGCTGAGGCTGTGGCAGCGCCGCATTGTGCGATGGGGGAGGCGGAAGCTGCTGAGAACCCCTGCGAAATCTGGATCTCTGCCAATTTAGTCTAGGAATGTTTATCTTTCGCGTGCATGATGTGTACCACTTTCTGGGGTTTGGAAGGACATGCTCGCAGGATTCTTCTAGGGCTATTGGAAGCTGCTGCTCAATCAAGTCTAGGAGCACATGAAACACAGACAGCACAGAAAATCCCAACATCAACCCTCAAGTCGTTAAGGAGCTGACTGCGGGAGCATTGGCAGCTGCCTGGCTCTGGCTCTGAAGGACCGCCGGGTGCAGCTTCCATGGAAACGAGACGAAAGCTCAGCGCCCACAGGAGCCCACAAAAAAGTGTCCACTAAGCTCGTTTCGGCCAAAGACTGCTCCCGAAAAACTCTCTAGGCGCCACTTCATGCCGGCTGGCGTCCCGCGGAATGAGGACTGAACCGTCCTATGAACACCCTTGAAAAAAGCGTCGCGTGAAAGGGGTTCCAAAAGCACCCGGGAATCCCTCGAAATGAGGACTGCTTGTAAAGAACCTCAATGCACAAATCCTTCACAAATGGGCCGCCCGTGCACCCTAAATCCCTGCCCTTGCTGCAGTCTAGCCTCCAAAAAATCAAGCCATTTCAGTACACCCAAGGCCCCCTCCCGGACGCCCGGACTCCGACTACCCAGCTTACTAGCTTCCAGTATACGAATGAAGCTCCCTCTCGCGAGGAGCTTTCGTGATTTGCGAGCAAGATTTTCAGAAGGCCAGTGGCTTCCAAACCTCCTTCTAATTCCACGCCCACAGGGCTGGGATGGCACACAACAGTTGACGGTTGACTCCTGCTTCAAAGCCCCCATCAAGCAAAAATCACCCTGACCGCAGCAGTAACACCTATACGTCCATAGAACATCCTGCAACAAGCCGCCTAGTTCCGCTTCTATTGCGACCCAGCGACGGCAGCTGTGAAGGAGGAGGCGGTTGCAGCTTGTGCTGCAACTGACCTGTTGCTGGCTAATCGGCACGGGCTTGAGAGCACAAGACGCACATGAAAACGGCCCTGGCGGCAAAGGCAGGCAACGTGATGGCAGAGGTATGTGGTTATGTGCAGTTGCCGAGCCAAATTGTCTGAGCCTAGCCCCACACTGATTCTTCACGTTCACATTTGTGAAACCCTGCTAATTCACACATGAACCAACGCATACTGGGTGTTTGCTTGGGCAGGCTGGGGTGGGAAGCCGAGCGACGCTGCTGGTGCTGGACCTGCGCGTTGGCCAACGAGTCTCACGTCTCTCTTGCAAAGACATGCTCCCAGCAACCAAGTCTGCCAATGAAGAGACACCATGCAAGGCACCTGCTGGACCAAGTACTCCTCCTGTTGCTGTAGCCTCAATCAAGCCATGTAACATGACCTGCATACAAAGACAAAAACAAGCCTCCTTGCCAGATGCAAGAGAAGCAATGGCAGTTTTCTGGTTCCGGCTAGCGGCTAGAGAGTTCGAAGTGAAGGCGAGACGTTATGGAATGTATGTGGGATGCAAGGACCGGGGGCGCGGCAGCATATAGCTGTTATCAGACTGCATGGCCATCGGATCGGCCTGCACAAGTCTGTCCCTTGCTGGACGGGTCGGATAGGACGTTTTGCGCCTGCTGCCCATAGCGGTCCCAGGAAGGATATTGTGCCTGGATACATGCATGCTGATGGCTCCAGCCACGAGAAATGCAGGGATTGGACTGGACCAGAAGATTCTCAGATCAACGCAAACCCACAACCACAACCACCAAACCCGAACCTGGCTTCCACCTGCTTCAGATCTTCATGAAAAGAACCACAAACAGACGTTGTATCTTTGAGGGGGCCGGTTGGCTGAGGGCAGTGCCCCGTGCCAAGGTGCAGACCTTGCTGCAGAGATAAAGACATGTCGACAAACGACACCCACCAGACTTCATTCCACTTCCTCCCACTTCATCATTGTATCCTCTTCCAGGAGCTTCCATCGACTTGCATCAGCCCTGAGCCATCTAGCACACGCGAGGGCCCTGCATTTGCAGATGCTCCTCCACATGCTGCCGCTCCAGCCTCAGGTGACTTGCGGTCCGGTAGAATTTCGCTTGTGGATTGTGCTGGGGTTTCTCTGCTCTGAGAGACCCAGTACGTTGAGCAAGAAACCAGTTGTTCAATGTAGCGGCTCTGTTGTCAGTAGCGAGTCATTGCTGTCCGTCATTTGTCACAGAATTTGCATTGCCTCTTGAAACTAGCTTGCCTTTTTATGAGTTCCTGATAGGTTTTTACGTAATCACTGCGGTGGCCCTATAGCCAACTTCAAGTAGCTGTTGAATCGCCGATGTTGATGGGGCTGCTCCACCACTGTGGTAGCTGGAGGCTTTCTCTGCTCAGGCTGTTTCGCTTGTCTACAGAATTTTCATCTCGCCCAACAATGCCTTGGCCACCTTCAGGATCCTTTCTTTTTGTGCACGCTTTTCAATCATTTCCGCAACGCTCGGCGCCAGGGGCCAAGCCCAGCTGGGCGAAGCGGGCAGACGCCGCATCCATCCGCTTCAAGCACGCAAAATGTTCCAAGCCGCCGACTCTTTCAGGTGCAGTTGCTGCTTCACCCTCAGCTCCCAGTGGCTAGGCAGGTGAGGGTGTTAAGTGTTAAGGCAGATTTCAAGCTTTGCCTGTTCAAGAGGAACCTTGACCTGAATAGCAGAAGTCAAAGCCCCAAGACCTCTCAATGCCATGAAGAATCGTGTGCGAGTACATCCACAGGCAGGCTCTACAGATTCCCACAATTTCGACCCAAACAAACTTGAGCAAAACCGAATGTGGCAGATCTGGGCGGTCAGCGCTTAGTCAAAACTCTGGTTACTAGCTTTTTGCCACTCCTTGTTAGAGCACAGCTGGAAAGACTTCCTCACGAAAGCAAGCAACATAGCATGCGCACACGACCTAGCCAAGCGACTGCTCTCGAGGATTGTGGTGCAGGCTGCGAATGTCTGCGGGGTCCTTTCTCAGTCCCAATGAGCGGCCCTGAAATTAGGAGGGCACTTGCTGAAGACATGCCAAGACTTAGTGCCAGTCTGGCGTCAGGAGCGAATGGGTATCAATGCATATATTGGTTCCATTCAACCATTCGGAACATCATGGAACACCCTTCTTTAAGATCTCGGATTCGTGACCACGAACTGGGTACTTCAAGATGTGTTCGGCAGAGCTATCGATTCAAATCCACACAAAACACTCACCCCACCCTTCTGTTCGGGGAAATTTCCTTCTGACCCGAGGGAGGGTTGGTTGGCGCCGCGATGTGTGCAACAAACTGCACCCCTCAACGTAGTCGGCAGATTTCCTTTGTGCCTGAATACTAGACATGGCCGCATGCAAACCACTCTTCAAAATGCTTGTGACATTTCTGGCCTGGTGTAGCTGTCCCTCTTTCTGCAGCTGCTCTCGCAGTTGCTGTCGCACCTTCGCATCCACATTCTGCAAACAAGCAAAGAACTTGCACTGAAGCGCGGGCCACTCCAACAGCTACATGATTACAAAGAACCAAGACCTATTGCAACGCATGCAACATCCCTCACGAGAGCTGCCGCAACGTAACAAACCTTACATGTTCTGATGGGTCCAGACAACACAACTCCATGCCTAACACCCAGAAAGTCAGCACCACCAACTGGTCATGAGAGCTTGGTCTACAAGGAGTTCGGTGAATTCCAGACCAGCCCCAGTCTGACACGGAAGCCATGGAAGCCTGCTCCCGGTATTGATCACCGGTGGGAGATGCGGAGCTGCTGGCAGCAGGGGATCCCTGCGCCTCCTCGGTTGGGGCCATACTCCAACTAAGTGGGAAATCCCTCGGCTTGCTGCAAGGCTTGATTTATTTGCATGTTTGCATAAGAAGGTATGATAGGTAGTCAACATGAAAATGGATTCCTAGGCTCGGGATGAGAACATGGGTGGTACATGCTTCGCAGCCAGCAGGTGCAAGTTCAGCTTGCACAAAATCCAACTGTCTTGCCGCAATAGGCGCCGGATGCTTTCGCTGTGTGTCAGACGGACATTGTGCTTTGCTCTGCATGCATAGGGGAGGCCAAAGGCGGGGATGCATCTGGCTATAACTACTTGCTTGCCGGGATGAGGCCAGCTTGGAGAATGCCCTTGCAGCCACAACTTCCTCGAGGTGCCAAGAGGACTACAGTGACTACAGTCAGCAAGTTTCAGCAAAGCTGGGGATTTGTCTGGATGCATCCCATGTTGCAGCTGCCATTGCCTCAGATCGGATTAAGCTGGCAGGCAGAGGATTGAACATTTCTGATGCAAAATACATTGCCTCAGAACCGAGTTGCATCTGTTCTCGGGGATTGTGCGCCATGCACCCCGCCGATGGCGACGTATTGCAAGGCCCTCCTGCCAGGAAAAGTGAGCTTTGCACCACGCTGCTAAGAACCGGAGCTGTCAGGTCAAAGTTGAGATCCCCCAAATCCTGCGCCGCCTTCAGATCCCAAGCCCATGCCAGCCTCAGAACCATGTTCTCATGCGAGACCAGAAGACAAGCCCGGCCCTTTGTACGAGAGCAACTTTCTAGACAAGCTTCAAGGTCAGCAGTTCAGACACACAGAAAATCCCACACTTGCATGCGCCCAGTGTTGGCAGACATGTTGACCGGAAACGCGCTTTTGCTCCCGACTTGCTTGCACAGCACTGTGCTATCCACGGGTGCCTTGCCATGAAAGGCACATCGGGAAGGTCTTAAGATTATTTGCCATGCTCCAGCCACCACCAACAATATACCTTCAGACGCCTTCCATGAGTCGACTATCATTGCTCGAGAGCTGGTGACCAGAACAGCTTGCCCAACTCATGAGTGAGGCGTCATCGCCGTCCGCGCCAGTTGTTGTTTTTCAGATGCTGTGATCCTGTCAGGTCATAGCGCGTACATCTAACATGTTGCTGAGCCAAGAGGTCAGGCTTGAGGCCATTATACAGTATGGCGGTCTCAGCTCCCTATTCTTACATAAGAAGGCAATTTTTGCAGTAGCACAGTGGCAGAATCGATTAACTCACGAGAAGAATTGCCCGACCCCGGAGCTCGCATCTAACCGACCATTACCCCACACATGCCCAATCAGGATTTCTGAGATGTCTTAAGAGGAACAGGTCTGGAACAGTAGCAACAGCAGAGGCAAAGACAGAAGTCGAGATTGTTTGATCCGGATGCCTCACTTCTCACGATCACGATCACGGTCTTTGTCCTTGGCTGACTGCCCTGCTGTTGCCTCCTATGGATCAGGGCTAGTCATAATTCGTTGCCGCTCACCAAGCTCTAGGACACGTAAACCACACTGTGTTGGATTTTGGCACAGCAAGTGTGTGATGCAATGGTCGTGCGAAACTCCTTGTGCTGCATAAGCCTTGGGCCCCAGGCTGGCTCTACTCGCTTGTGTCCAAACGCCAGCATCCCATCATGGCGTTTACGGGTCTGCATTCAACATGCTGCCGAGGCTCACGATCGCGATCCCCCCGATCTCCCCGATCGCCCCGATCGCCCCGATCCCGGTCCCGCCGGTCGCGATCTCTGTCTCCTTGCATCAGGATCCAAGATAAAGGTGGCAACAAGTTCTTTAGCCTTTTGAGCGCTATCGCAGAGCTGTCTGAAGACAAGATGTGCATCATTTAGAGGCATTGCTGGCTTGCAGCCTGTGCAAAGATTTTGGCCATTGCAGTACACCGCCTGCGCAGACGCCTGCTTTCCCAGATCCACAAGTGCCCAAAACAAATGCTACACCCCAACGTGTGGCGTTCGGGCATGCAGGTCTGTTGTCCGTTTCTGGGACCCTTGCAGCTGTTTGTCAGAATTCCCCTGTGATGTAGGATTATCCTGTCCAAATGATTTTACTCAATGTCGTTGGACACCGGTACAGGTTCTCTACAAAATTGCAAAGCAGCTGCTCTCTTGGCCGAGAGGCTGTCGCGGTCGCGTTCTCGATCCCTTCGGGTACTCCAGAGTATGAGCTGTGAAGCTTTGGCTTGGTGCTCGGACAGGGTTTTGTAGTAAAACACTCGTAGGAAGATTCCGCTTCCACAGCGTATTTGAACCTCTTTAGTCTACCGACCCTCGGAACTCTGCAACTGCAAGCTCCAAAGGAAAACTTTCTGATGCTTCCACAAGAATTACAAGTACAGGCAAAATTTGGAAATTGAGTCAATCCCTACAACAGCAATGGACCATGGACCTTGACGGCTTTGAAGTGACTAGCAGCAGCACCAGCAGCAGCACTGCAAGAAGACAGAAGTAGAAAGATGACCGCAAGTTTGGCGAGGCGTTTTACATGCGTTCGTGATGCCCGGACAGAAGCAAGGCCCTCCCTGCCTGTCATGGCGGCCTCCTCGCGCCTCATCTCGCCCGCCTCTCTGTCTGCTGCGACTGCGCTGGCGCTCCTCACAAGATCCCTCTCAGCAAGGCTGTAGCTGGCATGGTAATATGAACGCGCGAGGCGCTGAACTCGGTGCCCACGGTTCCCCTAGGTTTCGCCCATGCGTCCTTCTGTGAGTCGCGCAGTTCTCTCTCGTGCACCTCAACAATAAGGCAAGCAAGATCTACTCCTTGGCACAACTGTCCCCATCGCTTGCCCTTGTCCGTGTGCCAAGTTCAAATTATTGAATTGGATTGCGGATCAGCAGTTAGCCCACATGCCCAAACCTGATGCAAGACTGCTGCGAAACTGGCTTCTGCCATCGTACCTTGCTGCCGATTGCCGGAGCGTATCCGGGCTCCTGCGCCAGACCAAAACTTACTTGCCATGTCAGCTTTCTGTAATCCGAACGCTTGTGGGGGCTCGTTGGACCACGGTACACATAACTAACCTCAGTGAGGTGGGGCAGGCAGTAGAATTACAACGGCAAGGATTGGAGTGATCCTGCAGAGGCAACGAGCGACACTGTCTCATCCCGAAGAATTTCAAACAAGAGAGGTCCTTGATGGGCTTGCCCTCACGGAGGTCTCGAAGCATCATCATCACCAGCGAAGAGGGCCTGTTGGACCGCTCGAGGTGCCTTTGCCAGCGTGAGATAATTGACAAGCAAAAAATTGCTCAGCACCGAAGACTGGACTGGTCTCGCATAGCGCTGGCTTTCGTGAAGCTGCACAATATTGTCAGGCTTAGTGGTCTCGAAGCTGAGGGCCTACCCGTCAATTACATGCAAGCAAAAAAAACGGACAAACTGACTGCGACGCACAGGATGTGCCGAAGCTGCACAATACTAAGGCTTGAGCTTCTGGAGTTTGCTTAGGTCGCTGTCGATGTCATCACGATTGTGGAGAACCTTCAGATGACTGGACGCGCCTACATCTTGCTGAGGAGTTACAGGCTGACCGATTGCCAGGCCGTTGCCAAAGGGGGCAAAGCTCATCAAAGGATGCTGTCGAGAGCAGCTGTTCTCGTCACCAGAGGTTCGGCGCCTAAGCTTTGTAAGCTCCTTAGAGCTTGCCAAGCGGTTTGAACCTCAGCTCCTTTTGGTTGGCCCGTGATCCCACTCGGAGCACAGCGGCGGGAGTTTTATGGAGCCGCTTGATGCTGTGGGAGGTTGGAAAGCGGGATGAACGGGCAATGCAGTACATCCCCAGCTTTATACCCTGCCTTTCAGGCCTTTCATTGTCGATGTCGCAATGGCAGCAGCCTTCCCGTTACTGAAGTGCAAGTGGACTTTTTAAATTCAAGCCATCCAAACACCTTGTTTCTTTCAGAGCTCTAAGGAAGCAGAATTGCATCGTACATTCTCGGACAGGAACCATGGAGCTGATGCTATGGGCTCGGGGCAGGTGTTGCTCCTCCTTCTCCCCGGCCCACCTCCGCGAGCTTCACCGCAGCTTGAGCATCCAGGCGGTTTCGCTTGGCAAAGTCGTGGATCTGCACGCCAGCTGCTGTGATTTTGCTACATTGCGGTATCTCTGGTGCAGGTTGCAGTCAGCAACCAAAGTTCAACCTCTGACTCATTCAGGTGCTACAAATAAATATCCGTCAGAATGTTGGAGGCAGTCCTGCTTGTCCAAGGCTGTCATTCCTTTGAAGGTTCCCATCCGCATGTCCTTCAACTTCATCATGAGCATTCCTTTCGCGCACTGACAGTGAAACGGTACAGGGCTAAGCCAAGAGATGGGGATACCTACAGCTCAGATCAACTCACGAGTGAGGAGCAGGGTCTCCGCTTCAAAGTAGCGAACTGAATAGTATCATAAGCTTCTCAGCCCTGCTACTTCACCTCTCCCACTTTCCAGATCCCTTAAGGCCCTTGCCAGACGGGTTCTTTGCCCCCTCCAAGCCCACCCACAGAGCTTGCAAGTCAGACTCAAACCTCAGCTCAGCGCAGCAACGCGCAGTGAAACGAAGAGGCTCAGCGCAGCAACGCTTTGTGAACGGAAAGCAAACGGAAGCAGCCGAGGAGCGTCGCTCTTCGCTTCTTCATCTCTTCGTCCAAGGCGCGCGTGGCACGATCATCTGAAAAGATGCAAGGAAATCTGGCTTGTCTGATTCCACGGAAATTGTTGCGCTGCATGCCGGTAATAAGCAACCGACCTGCCTAGACCATGGTACTCCGCAAGTTCAGACACTTGCGGATCAATCCCAGCGTTCTTGATCTGCTCGTACTCGGTAGCTACTTGCTGAAACCTGAGTTACCAGCTGCATGTTTCCAGCGTTCCCGGGCGTTCCCGGCATTGTACTCAGCAATCCGCAGAACGAAAAAACGCTGATCTTGAACTCTGGTTGCTAGCTCCCAGCAATGCTCCCACAATCTTGAGTGCTACTATCCGAGGCACCGCATCTGTGCCAAGGCCTCGGAGTCCATTCCCGGGCCCGCAGGTGGCAGCCCAGGGATCGGCAACTTGGGCAAGGCCGGTGGCGGGCCAACGCCTTCGATTCAACGCTGCATGCTCTCAAGGAAGCCCAGAATCAGAAGTTCACCTAAAAATCGCGAAAGCATTCGCGAAAGCCTGGCGGCAGCTCCAGGCCCGGCGGCAGCAGGCCGAAGCCAAGCCCTGGGGGTGGCGGAGGCAGCTTGGCGCCGGGGAACCCAGGCAGACCTCAAAAGACAAAAGCCGGCATATTTGAATGTATTGCCTTTGAGGTGGAGATGGAGCTCAAAGGACTTTGCCTCCAGGCTTTTTAATTTGAGAGCCGCTTAAGGCTCGCATCCTGAGCATCCGAGCCTGGAGGCATCCCAAGCCCGGGCATTGTCAGTCCAGGTAGTGCTCCAGAAGCAGGCGGAAACTTTGGTGGCACTACGCCAGGCATTGGTGCTGTCGGCGCTCCAGGCAAGCTCGGAGGCAAGCTAGGAGGCAAGCTCGGAGGCAGTGGAAAGCCCAGTGCTGCAGGGTCTAGGGCTCCTCGGACGGATACGAAGTATTTCAATTCTGATCCTTTTTGGTGGTTTAGGAATCTAGGAAAGGCAACTCAATATAAAGAAAGTTGGGCTTTCAGGGAGAGGGGTCTCCTCTTGTAGCTACTAGGTGGTAGGGCTTGCTGCAGGATTAAATGAGAGAATCAGGGGTGTTGAGTAAACCCTTTTTCCTCTGTTGTGGTCTTTTAAGCTCCTTAAATCGGCTACTCTCAAAAAGGCGGACCTTTGTAGTCCTAGGGTACTGGGATCCTAGGATTCGATGAAGTTGAGGAACCCCAACCCCCCAAACTATGACCTCATAACTATCATGAGGCTATGATAGGGCCCTAAGTTCAGGGGGCTAGTGTGACCGCGATCCTCCTACTAGTGCTTAGGATTTAAGACTGTTGATACGGGGGAGGGAATCCTGCATGACCCAAAAATACCCCAAGAAGACAACCTGATTCAAAAGGATCTCCTCCGTGCTACTAGCAAAAACTTGGAGCGTTGTTGACGTGTTTTTAGACCTGATTTTATGCAAGTTCAACAACTAAGGTACCAGAAATCTGGAAGTTGTGCCCAGTCTTTGGCCTCAGATTGACCAGCTGATGATCAGTGCTCTTGTCTACAATCACGAATGGCGGCTCCTGCTGGTACGGTGGCTGCTGCGAAGGGCATCTCCATCTCCATGCCGCCTCCATCCTCAGACAGGTAGTGTCGAAAGTGCAGACACGCACTGTGCCACAGTGCAAGGTGCAACGTATGAATGAGGCTGTGAGGAGTCTGTTCCGGATTAGAAGAATAATCATCAGCCTGCCTTTCAAGAATGGGCATGGAAGGATATGTCAAAGGGAGAGCCGCAGGATAGCAGGTCCACCCATCTCAGCTCAGGGTCTCCCCCGCGCTTCCGCCCCATGGCCTTGCCAGAAACGCTGCCTCGACTGGAGTTCGAATAAGGAGTGCACAAAGGCAGCTGCATCATGAAACAGCAAGTGACATCTATCAAGCTACTGCAGCAATGAATGCGAGAAGTCCGTCATGTCTACGTATCATATGTTGCATCATGCAGGTCCCTTCAACTTTCAGACCAGCATTGCAGACTCACAAACGCAGAGGTTTGTTCCCATATCCTTCAAAGCTTCGTCAGATGAAAGGGAAGTTACAATGTGAGAACTCAC